CCTCCTCCCTCCTCTCCTCCTCCTCCTCCCTCCTCCTCCTCCCTCCGCCCTCCTCCCTCCTCCCTCCTCCTCCTCCCTCCTCCCTCCTCCCTCCTCCCTCCTCCTCCTCCTCCTCTCCTCCTCACTCTCCTCCTCCTCCTCCTCCTCCTGCCTCCTCCACCTCCTCCTCCTCCCTCCTCCCTCCTCCCCTCCTCCCTCCTCTCCTCCCTCCTCCTCCTCCCTCCTCCCTCTCCCTCCTCCCCTCCTCCCTCCTCCCTCCTCCCTCCTCCTCCTCCTCCTCCTCTCCTCCTCCTCCTCTCCTCCTCCTCCTCCTCCCCCTCCTCCCTCCTCCCTCCTCCCTCCTCCCTCCTCCCTCCTCCCTCCTTCCCTCCTCCCTCCCTCCCTCCTTCGTCCTACTCCTCCTCCTCCTCCTGCTCCTCCTTCCCTCCCTCCTCCCTCCTCCCTCCTCCCTCCTCCCTCCTCCCTCCTCCCTCCTCCCTCCTCCCTCCTCCTCCTCCTCCTCCTCCTCCTCCTCCTCCTCCTCCTCCTCCTCCTCCTCCTCCTCCTCCCATCCTCCCTCCTCCCTCCTCCCATCCTCCCCCTCCCTCCTCCCTCTCCATCCCTCCCTCCTCCCTCCTCCCTCCTCCCTCCTCCCTTCCTCCCTCCTCCTCCTCCTCCTCCTCCTCCTCCTCCTCCTCCTCCTCCTCCTCCTCCTCCTCCTTCCGGGCGGAGGGCGTCCCTTGGCCTCGCCCCTGGGCCGCGCACGTGCCCCGGGCCCCGCGACGGGCGGCGCAGCTCTCTCTGACGCCGTCTGCGGCTCCACGGGCCGGGCGGGCGGAACAAAAAGCGGCGGGCGTCGGGCGTCCCTTGGCCTCGCCCCTGGGCCGCGCACGTGCCCCGGGCCCCGCGACGGGCGGCGCAGCTCTCTCTGACGCCGTCTGCGGCTCCACGGGCCGGGCGGGCGGAACAAAAAGCGGCAGGGCGCCGCGCTGCGCGGCGCAGACTGCCGCGGGGGGCCACGCTCAGGCGCGGGCGAGGCTCCGCGGGCAGGGGCGGCTCGGCACGCAGAGGGGCACCCAGGGCGAGGACCCGCGGCCAGCCCACGCCCGGGAGGCCACCGAAGGCGCCCTGGCCGACATGGGCGCCACGTGGTCGACGGCGCGCGCGCTCAGCTCGCCGTAGCGCCACCGCCGCTCGCCCCGTGGGGCTCCGGCGGGCGGGGCCGCTCGCCCCCGCACGCCTAGCTCGTATGGCGCTCTCAAGCCCGTGTCTGTTTCAGTACGCTTGGCAACGTTTCGCCCCTGCTGGGGCTCGTCTCGGCGGCGAGCGAGGGGGGAAAGTGAGAAGGAGAAGACCTGCTCAGAAGGCGGCGGGACTTCTCAGGAGCCCTCGCGCCTTCTGAGGAGCCGTTTGTGTCTTCGGGGAAGGCTCACAAAACTTCTCAGACGGCCAGGGGACTTCCGAGCCTTTGAGAAGGCCCGCCCCTTCTCACTTCCCCACGAGGCTCCTCGCCGCCGATCCTGTGAATTAGTGCTTGCCATCGCCTGGCCCACTAGAGTGCGCGTGCGGATCGCCTCTGCCAAGCTGCGACGGAAAAAGACATGTCAACGTTTCGCCTCTGCTGGGGCGGAAATCCGGGACTCGAGTGGAAATTCAGGACGCCTTCCGCCTCTCGGCGGTGGACAAACCTCCATTTGGTAAACCTCCCTTCAGTGGAAACGGCCTGGGACCGAAACCGACGGACCTGGACCCGCGAAAACGACGGCCGCGACGCCCTCCCGCGAGCCGAAAACGGCCAATTCGCGAATCGACGTGCCGAGGTAGGAGGTCTGCCAACCTCCGAGCCTGCTGCCCGGGCACAGCGCCCCCGCGAGGCTCGGGAGCGGCAAAGAGGGGGGCGTCAAAGAGGGGGGGGTGCAAATCATGACCGGCGGCATGTGCGCGGCCCGGCGGGGGGGCCAGGGACGCAATGAAATAAGAAGAGGCGCCATGAAACCTGGGGAAATATCATGGCCCACGCCATGATATCCCCCCCCCCCTAGTCATCACCCCCTCCTCTTTTCCGCCCCCGAGAGGCCAACGAGACGCGGGGCCGCTGCGCCCGGGCAGGGGGCGGAACGCGTCGGCAGGCGGCCGCCAGCGCAGGGCGCGCAGGCAGGCCCGCGGCGGCGCGGCGCTCCCCGCCCGGCATCCATGGAGGAGCGCGCTCCACGACTCGCAAGGCGACGACTCGCAAGTGGCCTGGATCCGCCGCGGGGGATCTGCGATAGACTGCCTCAGAGCAGGCGCTTGCTCTTCAGACGTCTTCGAGTATAGGCACTTTGCGCGTTCCACGACTCGCAAGGTAACGACTCGCAAGTGGCCTGGATCCGCCGCGGGGGGTCTGCGATAGACTGCCTCAGAGCAGGCACTTGCTTGTCAGACGTCTGCGAGTGTACGCACTTCTTGCGAGCAGTGGAGCGAGCTCGGTGAATCCCGGGGCGGGGGGCCGAGGTCAAGAAGGGGGGAGGGCGCAGGTCCCCGAGATCCAGCGCACTGAAAACACCAAGACGGCGTCATCTCCCTCCTCCCCTCGTCCTCCCGGCGCGCACTCGGCGCGCCGTCGCTGCCTGTCTTGCCGCGCTCTTGGCGCCTTCTGTCCGCCGGCTAAGGCGTTTGGCGTGGCTCGCGCGCTCGCCAGTTGTCTTGCCCGCGCGCGCTTTGCGTAAATGGCTGCTTCAAGAGGCCCTCGCTGGGCCCCAGAGCCGCCAAACAACGATCCTCTGGAGGAAACCCTGGTCCTGGGAGATGGGTCGAGACTTCGGGGGATCCCGTAGTGCAGGAATCGCGACGTCGTATCTCTGGGATCGAGAGGGGGGGAGGGGCGGAGGGGCACGAGTGGAAAGGGGGAGGGGAGGCAGCGGAGTCCCTGGATCTTGTTGGAATGGGGGTTCTCCATGCCCTGCCTGTGGCGCGGGAATCTGAAAACGCCTCGAGACCCGCCCCCGGGGGGCAAAGGAACCAAGGAGCCAAAGAGCCAAGACATAGAAACGAAGACCTACAAACCTGGGCAACGCCTTGTGAGCTTCTTAACTGCCCCTTTATACGCAACAAGCAACACGCAGCGTGTTGACGCAGAGCTCAACACGCATACCGAAAACGTGAATCTGGCGCGATGCGCTCGCCAAAACGCGGACCAACACGTGCCGAGCCAACACGCGGCAGGTTGACACGGACGTTCTGAACACGGCGAGCGTGGCGTTTCCACACGGGCGCATCAGGGCGGCTAAGCTTGCAGAGGCACAAAACCAAGGCACCCCCTGGGAACCCCCCTCGTGGGGGCGCGCCGCTGCTCCGTGGGGAGCCGCTCTCGGGCGGGGCCACCCCGACGGCCCAAAAAGGCCAGCGGTGGGCGCAGCCCCCATTCCGGCGGGGCCCGACGGCCTTCGCGGCGCTCGAGGCAAAGAGCAGTCGCGACCGCGGGCTGGTGCGTGGCGGACTCAGCCATGATGCACAGGATGCGCCTCTGCCAGACCACTCGGAGAGACCACTCTGGCGATCGAGGCTCACGAGGGTCGTGCCACCTGCTGCGAGGCAGCTCCTGCAGAGGGGGGGGGGCACCGCGATGCCCTTTCTGCTAGCCGCCGCGGGGACCTCGCTTGCGCCTCCAGCAACCTCTCGTAGAACAGGGCGAGCGGGCGGTGGGAAGATAATTCTGAATCCATGTCGAAGCAAGCCTCCTTGCGGTCAGGGTCCAGCGCGCCCGCTCTCAGGGCGTCGCGGGGCTCTCACTCCGAGGAGCGGACACAACGGCGAACACGCATCTCAACGAGGCTCCCTCCCAGGCGCACAGCATCTGGGCGCACTACGCTGTCAAACATTGGCGTGCCCGTGGTGGCGCACTGTTCTGTTTTCGCGTAGCATTCTCGCCGTTCCACCTGTCCCGTGGCCATTTCTGGTGGTATGGCCATCAAGGTCTCACGTGTTTGACGGTGGCCAGTCTCCAAGCACCAATGCTCACAGCGTTCTGAATGACGAGGCGGCAAATGCAGACCTGGCCAATGAGGGGGTGGTGGGTGTGATCACGATCCGCATGTAGAAGCGGCGAAGCTTTAGCCTTCCCAGGTCCCATAACCTGTGACAGGATGCTGTGGCTCTTACCAGGCAGTGTGGCTCTCACCATGCCCAGTTGGCTCGCACCATTGCACGTACAAATGATCCACACATAGCAACGGCAAGGTTTCAGCTTCCATCCGCCGACCTTGTCGGCGTGTGTGAAAGGCTTTCCCGTTTGAGTCGTCGTCGTCGCCGCCGTCGTCGTCGTCGTCGTCGTCGTCGTCGTCGTCGTCGTCGTCATCGTCGTTGTCGTCGTCGTCGTCGTTGCCGTCAGCGCTCCCCTCCACTCCTTGCCCGTGGGTCCTCCTCTTTCTCAAACGTCCCAGCCAAAGAGAAGTCGAGCAACGCCGCAATCGAGTCGAAGGGGCGCCCCTTAACTTTGATCCCTTCCCCGCCAGGGGCAGGCCCCCAGTTGTGACCCCCCCGTGTGGGGGAGCACCCCTCCATGGAAGAAGCTTCCCCCCCGTGCCTCCAAAAAACTTCTGGCTCCCCAATTCAGGGTCGGCGGCACCGGCCGCACGGCCTTCGCAATAGAAACGGCAGGGTTTCAGCGTCCCCGTCCCAGAAGCTGTGACACGGCGGTGTGGCTTTCATCAGGCGGTGTGGCTCTCCCTATGCTGGAAGGAAATCACACGCCCTAAAACCTCGTTAAGGGTCGGCAGATTTTTTCACGTTTCGTTCCTCCTCGTGCTCCTCCCCCTCCTTTTCCTCCTCCTCCTCTTCCTCCTCTTTTTCCTTCTCCTCCTCCTCCTCCTCCTCTTCCTCCTCCTCGTCCTCCTCCTTCATTTTTTCCTCCTCGTCCGTGTGCTTGTCCTCCTCCTCATTGTCCTCCCGCTGCCCTCGCTGCCCTCGCACGTGCCTTTCATCCTCTTTCCCAGCGACGAAGATGAGCACGACGACGGCCCACAGCCCGCGCAGGCGCAGTCCTCGCCCCAGCCCTTCCAGTCCAGCTCGTGCTGGCAACGGGCCGCGCCATCCAGGTAGACCCTGAGAGCCTGGAGGTTTACGGTCGGGGATTGTTGCTTGACGTGTCGCGGCGGCGGCCCCGGTGACGCGCTTTTCCTTGCGAGTGGATAGCGTGTCGCTCTGCCCCGCGGGGCGGGAGGCTGGGAAAAGCTCGGGACCTTGACGATCGGGGACCCGCAGGTGGATAGCGTGTTACACCGAAGCGTGGAAGGCCAGAGCCGGCGGAACGACGCGTTACTCCAAAAAAGTTCCCGACCGTAGGGGCGGTGAACAAGGCGGGTCGTGAATAGGCTAGCGGGCGAGAGTGGGGTGAGGTAGGACAGACGAAAACCATACGCCCTAGGGCGCGTCGGCGGCAAAGAAAGCACTCGGGCCTGCATAAACTTGAACTTCGTCTTATACTTGATGTACTCCTTTATCTCCACAGACACGAACGGCGTGCGGGTATAACTGCTTTGATCATTCCAACCATGGTCCCCCAACTTTCTGGACGAACTTGTCCCCCACTGGCGTTGGCGCCCCGGGAAATAACACGGCGTCTCTTAAGGGGTCCCCCTCTGTCCCCCGCGCTGCCTTGGCATAGATACGAAGCTGATGCTTCAAGAGCATGAGTGTACTTGACTTCTGCCCTGTTCTACGCAGGACCTCGCCGTTTGAAATGTGCGAAATCATTGGGTTCCTGATGGCGCTGATCGCCCTGAGCATTCGCGCATGCGTTCTGTCCACCCGTCTCCTTTCAGCTGCGTTCAAGCACGCGGCGCTGAGGCTGTACATCAGCTGCGGCACCACTGTTGAATATTTCCGCTTTTCCCTGCAGTGTGCTGGATGAATGGCCCAGACCTGCGTCAGCCAGCGCAGCTCGGAGGAGGCTATCCCGAGTCTCCGCGCAAGCTCTGCCCCCATGCGGCCGTCGCTGTTCACCGTGGTGCCAAGGTAAGACAAGGTATCTTTGGCCTTTACCTCTTGTCCACCAGAATCCTGAGCAATTGAAATTTCCCCCAATGCATCTCTAAGCCCACATCCGCTGCTGATGTACATACCGCCTGAAACCATTGTTCCGTGTCGCCCGCTGTTCTGACCATAGGCAGCGTGTCATCCGCGTAGAGGAGCTGCCACAACTGCCCTGGGCGCGACGGATGAAAGGTAGACCGGGTAGCTCCACGTCGTGCATCGTGACGAACATGACCATTACGAACAAGAGAAGTGAAAGTGGGCATCCCTGGGAAATCCTGGAAGCCTGTCCCATCTCCTCGGAGACATTGCACGTGTCCCGCATAACAAACGTCGGCTGCAGGTAAGTGGCCCTGACAACATATGATATGACATGTGGCAGCCAGTATCGACCAAGCGCTCCGAGCATCGATTCTATGTTCACCGAATCGTCTGCCTAATTACCGTTGGCCCCTGCCGCCAAGAGCCGCCTCAGCACAAGGGAACCGAATATTTTGTACCCCAGCGATCGCACACTGATCGGCTTAGTTCTACTTGGCAGGATTGTCAGTGTCACCCTTCTTGTGGATGGTCGTGATCACGGCTTTGTGCCATGCTCTGGGAGTTGCCCGCCGCCGCCAGCACAGTTTCACAACATCTGCAGGTAGTTTGAGGTCAATCTTGGTCACCCATGAGCCAGGATCCCGTCCTCTCTTGACGCGCGGTATTTTTTCAGCTTCCGGATGACGCCCTTCACCTCGTCCAGCGTGAAGTCGTGTATGTCCACGGGGAGGGGTTCTCGAAGCGTTGGCTTATCCAAGATCCCTGTAGGCGGTACCCGCCACTGGACTTTCTCAGAATACTCTGCCATCGTGTCGGCTTTCCCCTCGCTCGTCGTAGGCTAAGTAGACATGCCATGGTCCACATGCGAGAAGCGTCTGGTCTCCTGGGCTTTCGAACCGCCGCGAGGTCGTCCCGAATACCACTACGAACAACGTCGCTCAGCCACTCCGTCGTGTCCCTCTTGGCGGATTGGCGGACCGTTTGATGTAGTCTCCGCTGCTTGCTCCTGTCTTGTTTTGCCCAGACCTCTGCGCGGCGCTTGACCAAGTCGAATGTGCCTTGCTTGACCCACAGCCTCTTATTAGGCAAGGTGTTGTCCGGCACGACGGGCTCGCACGTTTCGAACGCTTCAAGAATGGGGCGACGTGTCGAAGGAGCAGAGCCAATTAGGGAGGGATGGGGCGAGGGAGGAGGGAGGAGCACGAAGGGAGCAAGGGGGCAAGGGACACTCAGGGCATCCAGGCTTTGTCCAGCGGCTTCGCCGAGAGCCACGGCACCTGGCCTTACCGTGGACAGCAGTTCCTATTCTTCCCCCCTTATCCCGCCTCCTCCGCCTCCCCTTCCTCCTCCGTTTCCTCTTCGTCTTCTTTCTCCTCGTCGTCCTAGCAACCAACCAACTGGCCAGTAGTCGTAGACTCTCGGGCAATCCCGCCGTCATTGCTGGAGCGGGCAGGCTCCAGTCGCAGACTGCCCCTCTGCAACCGAATTATGCGGTCGGATCGGGCAACGGTCGCCAGCTTTGGGCGTCCGCTCCCGTGCCCTTCAAGGGGGGCCCACATCCCCCTGTCACCCAAGGCCCGCCTGACCCAACTTCGAGCTGCGCGAAGCGCGGTAATCATTGCGCCCTCGCGGCGCCACCTGAAGCAGAACAGCCCTCTGGCCTGGACTGCGAGTCCCGAAGCGAGGCCACCTTCGCGCCCCTACGGGTGGCGTAGCTCGCTGACCCCAACTGTAGCTTCTGAGGGCAGGGCGCTGGGGAACGGTTTCCAGCGATTTGGGGTGACTTCGTCACTGCGTGAAGAGTGCGCTCGCGAGTGTGCGCGCGACCGCGTCAACGGTGAGATATGTGCTCATGCGGGCGCACAATCCTGCATACGCGGCGACAGCAGGCACTCGTGTATGTGTGTATGCAGGTGAACACGCACGTCAGCGCACCAAACTGAGCAGCCGCCGAGTAAACATGTGCATCGTTTTACATGCATGCACCTTGCACTTACACTTGACAGATACCATTCTGGACTGCTTTGCAGGTTGACGATGTGAAAGCTTCTTTGAATCCGCCCCCGCCAGAAAGCCACAGTTCATGTTCGTGCGGGACGTGCGCTGGAAGCTATGCGCGAGTTCCCCAGATCGCAGAGGCGGGTGGTTGACGCAAAATACTCTGCTGCGGCGACCGCGCCTGGTGTCCTGGGTCGTCCTGCTGGGCTGTCATGTGTAGTAGCAGCAATGAAACTAACTGTTGTTGTGCGGTAGTTTCGTGTCGTGACCTGGGCGTTGGCTTATGACACCGCGTGGATCGTTCAACCTTGAACGACTGGTTCCATCTTGGCCGAGTCTGGGCCACCAGCGACTTTCAACCTAGATCGCCCAGTGACAGTACAGGTGGTGGCAGTTTGGAAACAAAGACATCAGAACAAAGAAGAAAACCTTACACGGCCACGCCTCGCGGGAGAATACCTCCATGGATCCGAAGAGCTGGGCGGGATGATCGCCGATGCCGGCGATGAAGGCCCGGTCGCAGTTCGCGAAGTAGAGGCTCTCCCCTTCGCCTCGCGGGGGAGGCCATGCCCATGACGTAAGCGACAAAAAAGCGGCAGCGATTGAACATCACAGCGCGACTGGAGATCGTGCGTGGATCATGCCGAAGCAGCGCCGAGAACGTGGTGCTTCAAACCTATCGGGTCTGTCTCGCGCCCCGGGCGTCTCTCCGGCGGTCTCGAGAGCAAGCTCCGCCTCGGAAACGCACGCAGAATCTCATCTTCTGGCGTGTCCGCAGGCAGGCCCTGCCGAATCGAGATTCCGAGACGCCCCAGCGCAGACTCGAGTCAGCGGTCCCCCGTGCAGGCCCTGCCTCCGCAAATCCAGTGTAGATACGCGTCAGCGGTCCAGCGCACATGCCCTGCCTGCGCGAATCCAGAAGCACGTCGTTCGTGTCAGCGGTTCCGCGCACAGGCCATGCCGACGCGAATGCACAAGCTCGGCGCCGCGGTCGTCGGAAGTTCCCGCTGACGGGCCCCATCTGGCCACACCAACCGCATAAGAGCTCCTCCAATACAAGAAACGACATGTGTCACATGTTCTGGCCTCATGGCGGCGCTCCAACCATCCCCACACAGAGTGCAACACTTGTTCGAAAGACGTGGCTTCTTCAAACTATCAGCGGATCGATTGGTCACCGCTTCCAATATTCACGGGCCCCATGATGACATCATCATCATCATCATCATCATCATCATCATCATCATCATCATCATCATCGTCATCGTCATCATCATTGATATTATCATCATAATCGTTTTCATCATCGTCGTCGTCGTGGTCGTGGTCGTCGTTATCATTATCGTCGTCATCATCATCATCAGCATCATCATCATCGTCATCGTCGTCGTCATCCTCGTTATCATCATCATCATCACCACCACCATCATCATCATCATCATCATCATCATCATCATCATCATCGTCGTCATGATCCTCATCATTCCCCTCGTCTTCCTACTCGGCTCCAGTGCGGCCTCGCAATAACCCAAGATAACCGCAAGCCGGCCGAAGATCACATGTGACAGCCTTCCAGGCGTTGCTCCAACTGGATTGCACGCACAGCAACACCTCAAGGGGGAAGGCATTCCAAACATCACGGACAGTACAAGCTTTGCATTCCGCACCCCCTCCTTGGGCTACTTCAGAAACGCCCTCGAACGACACAAGGTAAGGGCAGGCGAGCCACTCTCTGGTCTCTCTCCTAACAGGGAACGGGACTGGCAACGACAAACCAGAAGGGACGAGGAGGGAGGAGGGAGGAGGGAGGGGGGAGGAGGGAGGAGGAGGGGGGAGGGGGGAGGAGGGAGGAACTCCGTCGTCGCCATACTCTTCTTCGCCATGCCCTTCCTAGTGCCTGATGCGCCCTGCCATCCCTGGTGCCTGACGCGCCCTGCCTGCCCACTCGTGCGTCCTTCAAGCTGCCAGGGTGTAGGCTTCATCCACCTCCTCCTCCCCCTACCCCCTCCCCCTCCTCCTCCTCTCCTCCTCCTCCTCCTCCTCCTCTTCCTCCTCCTCCTCCTCCTCTTCCTCCTCCTCCTCCTCTCCAAGCAAGGTGTCCGATTTGCGCGGCGCCTCAGCTGACGAATACCATGCGGCGGAAATCAGGGACGACTGGCACGCATTCTCATGGACATCGACACTCCCACAAGCAAACATGTTGTATGCTGAACTGCCGCAAATCCACGAACACGATAGCCCAGCGGAGTCAACTTTCACACCACAGCAAAGCCAGAAGAGCCAGATGTCCAACGTGTATTGCGCAGATTGTCGCACTCATCACTGGCCATCGCAATTTTCAAGCATGACTCGCAATACCCCTTGGAATTCGTAAGCGCTTCACATGATGGGATCGATAATTTGTGTTGCTCTCGCCACGATGGCATGGTTCCCTTCGCCTGTCCGGTGTTACGAGCAGGCGCCGAGAGTGAGCAAACGCGTTCCAATGGCGCTCCCGAACAGAGGCCTTCAGCTGGGGTGTGGTCGGCGACGTGGTAACGCAGTCGTTCAGGGAAGAAGACAGCGTCGGGGTCCACCTCGCGGGCAAATGGCAGAGCGAAGGGCGAACACCAATGAGCAGAAAGAAGGCTGGCATCCTCCAGATCAAAAACGTGGACATGCATCCGTACATATATATAAATATATATATATATATATACATAAACATTGACATGCATGAATATATGGCGTGTGGGTCCCAACCATTGTGCAGCAAGCTAGGTTGGCATTATACGCGGTACAAAATATGTGATGCAATATATGTGGTGCAGTTGTTGTTTACACATGATTTGACACATCCCACGCTCTTGCAAACATCCCACCCACCCACCCGCAACTTGGTTTGCAAAACCTCTTGAGACCGACTACGACGACACCGACGACAACGACTACGACGACACCGACGACGTCTCCGACGACTTCGACGACGACAACGACGCCGACGCCGACGCCGACGAAGGCGACGACGACGACGCCAACGAAGACGACGACGAAGGAGGAGGAAGGACGACGACGGCGACAACGACGACAACGACGACAACGACGAGGGAGGAGGGAGGACGGCGACGACGCGAACGACGAAGAAGGAGGAAGGACGGCGACGCCGACGACGACAACGACGAGGGAGGAGGGAAGACGACGACGACAACGACGACGACGACGACAACGACGAAATAGGAGGGACGTCGACGAGACGCCGACGACGGACGACGACGACGACGAGGGAGGAGGAGCAAAGACGACCTCGGCGACAACGACGATGGAATCGACCACGACGCCAAAGAGGACGACGACGACGAAGACGAGGAAAGGCAGAGGACGATGTAGGCGACGACGACGACGACGCGGGAGGAGGGAGGACGGCGACGACGACGACGACGACGACGACGCAAGAGCGCGCGCGCACGCTAATGTTGAAAATCCGTGTTGCGAAACCTTATGTTTTGAAGGTTTTTTGGACACACGATTTTAAAATCCTTCCGAAACCTATGGGTTTTGAAGGTTTTCGGCATACGCGCGCGACGACGCGCGCGTCTGCACTTCGTCCCATCTTTTGCAGAGGATTCTCGCGACGGCACACGCGCAAGGGCGTTCGACAGATTTCGACATGCGCGCGCGACGCCCGTTTGGTAGCATTTTGTGAAGATATTGAAAAAACGATGGTTTTCTTTAGATTTCACAAGGGCTCGCGCGTAAGCTTTTTTAGCACATCAGTGTTACGAAACCCTGCGTTTTTGTACAGTCGTGGCCTTGACCTAAGGAACCCTAGATAAGGAACGAGGCCCTTTTTTCCATAAGTTGAACTTCGATTTCAGATCGAAAACATAAGGAAAACCTGAGGCAAGCTGCGAAACACTTAAGGAACGCGGAACCCCTCCCCAACGAAAAGGGTTCCTTCTTCAGGGCCCCGACTGTATGTTTTTTGGGAAACTCGATTGCGAAATCCTTCCGGCACCGAAAGTTTTTGAAGGATTTCGGCATGCGCGCGCGACGACGCGCGCGTGTACACTTCGTCCAATGTTGTGCAAGAGATTCGCAAAAAAGTCTTATCTTATATCAAAAAATGTCACCGCATAGTGTTTTTGTTACAAGGGAACCTCAGGGGGGGGATACCGGTAGGCCTGGGACATTGTGATTTCATATTTAGGATGGACATGTGGTCATAATCATATACGATTTACATACCCGAAAGGGGGGGCGATAACTCCGGGGGGGGTAAAGTCTATTCTTTTTTTAAAAAAGGAGAATATACGTGGTACACGGTGGTCATATTAGTGGTGCAATGTATGGTTTGCACACAATATGGTGCAATTTCCATGCATGCGGGGTAATCAGTGTTGTGCAATCGATGTGGAGCACGTATGTGTTGCAACCTGTGTTAGAGGGCGCGCCGCTGGAGTGGTTGGGACCTCCCCCCCCCTTTCCTCGATCCGTCGTCGGGGACCCCCCTCCCCTCCCCCCCTTTCCCGGTCCGTCGTTGGGACCGCCCCCCTCCCCCCCTTTCAAAAAGGGCGGGGGGGGGTCCGACCCCCCCCCCTTCCCCCTTTTGGCCGCCAAATTCGACCCCCCCCCTTTCGCCACGGCGCCCCCGGTCTCCGGAACCCGACCCCCACCACCCCTAACACTAATCCTCACCCTTACCCTAACCCCTGACCCTAACCCCAAACCCTAGCCCCAAACAGTGCTCACTGCTCATTACGCACTACCCACAAGTCACTACTCGCTACTAACTATTCACTTCTCACTGCTCACTACTCACTAGTCACGACTCACTACTCACTACCCACGACTCACTACCCACTACCCACTACTCACTACTCCCTACTCCCTACTCCCTACTCACTACTCACTACCCACTACTCACTACTCACTACCCACTACTCAATCCTCACTACCCACTAAACACAACTCAGTACCCACAACTCACTAATCACAAATCCCTACTCACTTCCAACTCACCACTATGTACTGCCTTCCTCCCCTGTACATCATGTGGCACCTCCCGTCAATACGAGGGAGGCCTGAGCGGCAATAAAGCCCCGCTAGGCCTGGACAAACTGCCATCCGAACTGTTGTGCTCTCCTCTCCTTTCCTTTCCTCTCCTCCTCCTCCTCCTCTCGACCTTCCCTCTCCGACCCACGGCAGGCCTTCACCGTCCAGTCGTGTCTGAGCGCCGGGGTCTCCTTGCGGGACGCCGCGCGGCTCTGGGGGTGGGGGTGCGAGTAAGAAGAGTGAGGAAGGGGTGTGATGAAGGGAGAGAGAGAGAGAGAGAAGGAATAGGAGGAGAAGGAATCATCGAAGGAGGAAGAGGAGGAGAATCTGCCACCGTGTGTTGTGCATGTTGCGGCGTGGTTGAACTCTACTAAAAGACATCCCCATTTCAGCATCTCACTGCATGCATCGCTCCCCATCCGAGGCCACGATCCCTCGTCATCGTCATGGCGAAAGGCCCAACAATGTGCAGGTGTGAATGCCGCGCTGTGGTTGCCGCTTTCGGCGGAGCTCCCCCCAGGGCCACGAAACGTGAGAGGGGAGTGCCGAAATGGGCGCGGTGGTGCCATGCGAACCCTGCCACTCGTGCCTGCAGGTGAGCTCTATATGGGGCCACGAGACGAGTGAGGGGTGTGCCGAAATCGCGCGGTGGACGCATCCGAACCCCGCCACTGGGGTACGTATTCGGATGACCTCTCTGTGGGCATTGAAACGTGTGACGGGAATGCAGACATGGGGTGGGCGGACGCATGCGAACGTCGCCTCTGCAGCCTTCGGTGGAGCTCCCTATGAGGCCACGAAGCGTGTGAGGGGTGTGCCAACATTTTAAGGGGGACGCGCGCGAACCCTGCCAGTGGGGCCTCCGGAGGAGCTCAATATGGGGCCACGAAACGTGTGAAAGGTGTGCCGACACGCGAAACCTACCACTGGGGCATTCGGAAAAGCTGTATATGGGACCACGAAGCATGTGAGGGGTGTGACGACATGATGCGGGGGGGCGCATGCGAACGACGCCGCCGGGGCCTTCGGAGGGGCTGTACATTTGGCCACGAAGTGTATGAAGGGTGTGCCGACATGGTACGGGGGGACGCATGCAAACCCTGCCACTGAGGCCTTCGGAATAACTCTAAAAGATGGGGCCGCGAAGCGTGTGAGAGGTGTGCCGACGTTGTGTGGGGGGGCGATGACGATGAGGACGCGGGGTGGGAGGAGGGAGGACGGGGGGGAAGAGTGACGCGGGGCGCTGTCTCTTCAAAGCAAATACCCCAGACCACATGATGGTTGGGACTGAATTATCCCGGCGAAATCTCAATCGTATGCAATTGTGAATGCCGTCGTTGCGGGTATCGCCGTCGGTGGAATTCGTAATGGAGCCACGAAGCGTGTGAAAGGTGCGCCGACATGGGGCGAGGCCGCCATGCGCGCGCTCCCCCTGAAGTCTGAAGTAAAGCCCTCCGTGAGGTCACAACACGTGTGAGCGGCGTGCCGAAATGTAGCGGGGCCGCGATGCAAACGTCGCCACTGGGGCTGCAGGTGGACGCCGACATGCGGACGTCGTCACTGGGGCCTTCGGACGGGCCTCTTGTGTGGGACATCGAAACGTGCGAAGCGCGTGCCGAAAAAAGGACGTGATGCCCACATGCGAACGACGCCACTGGGGCCTTATGTGGAGCTCTTTATGTGGCGACGAGGCGCGTGTGGGGTGTAACAAAAGTGATGGGGCGGCCACGTGCAAACATGGTGGAGCTGTCATGAAACCTGCGGAGTGTGCCGAAATAGGCAGAGCGGCGACATGCGGACATGGCTACTTGGGCTTTTAGTGGAGGTCCCGATGGGGCCACGAAGCGCACGAGGAAACTGAGCTGAAACGCCGTATCTCTACGACACATCAGCTGCAGTGATGGCGCGACGGCCGAGGGAGCGTCTGTCCTAGCCGTCGCGGAGGAGAAGACACAAAGGCTACAGTCGCAGCGTTGGCGTGGCAGGCAGTGGTGTGTCGCTGGCTCTGTCCTGGACCTCCTCGTTGGAAATATGATAAAAGTCATAGCGCGTGGGAAGTCCAAGGTCTCACGGAAACATCTTGCTTGGAATGCGCCGATATTGTCCCGGTCGGCTGTCTTGCAACAGAACGCTTCCAGACAGTATGTGAGCTTGGTGATGACGCGCGAGTCGAAGAGAGCAAACTTCGGCTTCCTCGTCTTGCTGGCACGCCGCCGCACCATCTGGAGCTTGTCGAAAGCTGCCCAAGTTTTGTCAATTCGCCGGGCAACCGCTGCGCCTGCGCCGCCGTCGGCGGTCAAGAGGCTGCCAGGTACACTGCTGATGTTACTACTTTGATGGGCGCCCCTCCTGTCGCGAGCACGTCCTGGGTGTGCTTCGCTCGAAGGCACACTGTCTTGTCCCCAATTGGTTCCAGACCGTAAGCTTTTGATATACGGATGAAGCTGGTGAGAAAACCCACCGCCCGCTTGACGTCGTCGGAGATAAGCGCCGCGCCGTCGGCGTAGGCAACGGCAAAACAGACGCTTTCATCGGGAAGTTGCCAAAACTCTCTGCGCACGTCGTGCTCGACGTCTGTCGCGAGGACCGATGTGATGATGAAGAAAAGGACTAGGCTTAGCGGACACCCCATGCGCGATGCCTGACCCCTGCGGCCGTGCGCCAGAGTGCCCAAGCTTGTCGCTTATCTCGATAGTACGGCTGCTGTAAATGTTAGCAACCATATCAAGGCAGGCGCCCAGAATGCCGAAGCGCGACAGTGCGAGCATGCTGGGTGTCCCTCAACTTGTCATCGACACCTCCAGCGAGCATCCGGTTCAGACTCAGGTTGGCGACTACTTTGTAGCCGATTGTCAACAGGGGATTGGGCGATAACTCTGCGGAAGAGATTCAGATGGCACCTCGTCGAGTCCTGCGGCCTTCCTGTTTTTAGCTTCGCCAGTGCTGCATTCAATTCCGTCAATAAAAATTCTGACGTATTGAAAGGGAACATACCGTGTAGTTGTGATCCGTGGGGTCGTGGCTGGCCTGGTGGTGCAGCTGCCCACTGCACGGTCTCGTAGTAAATGGCCATCGTGTCAGCGCGTTGCGAACTGTCTACCAAATTGCCTTCTGCGTTTCGCGAGCGACCTTGATGCCTCCGCCCCACGCGCCAGAAACGCTTCAGGCCCTGCCAACTGCCTGCGTCAAGCACACAATCTAACCATATCAAGCAATTCCCTGCGGTCTTTTTTTCGCAGAATCTCGGATGTGTTTCGACAGCCCCATCTCCAGCATGCTCGGCCCTCTCCTCCGAGCTTAGTTCCACAAGTCAATGAGGTCAAGGAATGGTCAAGGGCGCCGTGCTGGATTCATGTCCTGCTTGCGCGCGCCGCCTGCCATTCCGCAAACCTTTCAACCTGCTCAGCAGCTGCACTTGCCGGAGTCCCAGGAGAGTCCGCGCCCTGAGCCGCCAGGCGCGCCACGAAGTCATCAGCGAAGTCCGACGCCACGCTTGGTATGCTGAGACGCGCGACGTTCATGAACAATTGATATTATTTTGGAGGTGCCGAGTGCGCATGTCTGACTGCGACCTGCCACTGGTGCTGCATGCGAACATGGTCGATCTCAGCGAAGTTTGACGGCGTCATCTCTGAAGCTGGCGTGGCCGCCAAGTCAAAGTAGGCCACTCGTTGGTGCACCGGCCTGTCCAGAAACGTGTTCGCGAGCGAACGCCCGAATGACACGCAATGTCCGACGAGCATGTGCTGATTGCGCAGTGGCCCCGGGTTCGAACTGGCGTCTCCCCATGCATGCGGGCCAATCGTGTGTGCGCCGCAAAAGAGAGATTGACCAAACTGGGCGCTTAAATCACCAAGGATTGACTGGCCCGCGCGGCTTAGTCTTCGAAGTCAGATCGAAGTCAGAACGTGCAGATCACTAAATAATGTGTGTCGCGTATCGAAGTCGTGGCCAGAGTGCGGCGCGTACGCGCTAATGAAAGACACAGAGCCACCAGCCATGCGAGGCCTCACGCTTGCCATGCAGTTGTTGTGTTGTACGAAACCCATGACAGCGTGTCTGACAGACGGCGCAAAAACGAACCCTACGCCGGCTCGCTCTCGTTCGCATTCTGGCCCCCCAGAGGGTATCACCAGGAAGTCGTCGTACAAGAACCAAGGTGCTGCACAGGCGTGCGTCTCCTGCATCGCCCCTAGCTTCAGCCCCCTTATCTCGCAGAATGGCCACTGTTTTATGCAGCTCAGTGCACTCAGACTTCAGCCGGAATCCATCTACGTTCCACGTGGCCACAGCCGTCAGACCGGTTGGGCGCTTCGGCCGGGGATCCTTGAACTGTCCTGGTTTTCCCCTTTGCGGTACAAGCTCGGGTGGATCATCTTGAAGAGGTGCTTGACTATAATCGGCTGGCGGCTGGCCACTGCAGCGGAGAGGAAGTCTGAGAAGAGATTCTTCGTGAGGGAAAAAAGTTGTTGTGAGACGGATTGAAGAACACCTGGCCTCCGACGTCGTGATGAAGCTTCATCCGTCCAGCTTTCACGACGACCCAAATTTGAGCCAATATAGATCGAGCCAATGTTTCGTGACTCCTATCCGCGGTGACCCGCGACCTTTCCTTTGCCTTTCTCCACGCCTCTGGAGCCCCCTTTAAATGCAGCTCCTGCTCGCTGGAGCCTGCCGGATTGCTCGTCGCACAGCGTCCTCCACTCTGTGTCCGTCGTCAGGTACTCCTCCCACCCCTCCCCGTACGACAAGACGAGCTTGCCCTCCGACGCGGATGCCTTGAACACCGTCTCCCCCCCGAACTGGAAGACTTGCGTGTCGGTGTCCACCCAGAGGACGCTCTTCGCGAACTCCCACTTCAGGAACATCCTCTTCGTGCCGAACACCATGGGGCCGAGAACTCGTCCAAATGGCGGCAAGTCCGCTGAGGCCCACACCGGCTTGCCCAGGGTGAGTTTGGCAGCGCGTATCGTTGCTGTGGCTGCGTCCCTGTCCTCCACCGTGTTGAATTTGGCAAACATGATACGTACGTGATGTTGTCGAAGTCCCCCCCTGGTGTAGACTTCACGGGGAGACGGCGCTCCGACGCACCACCACTGATTCCCGAAATTGGTGGGGCGCCCACCTCCTCCTCCTCCTCCTCCTCCTCCTCCTCCTCCTCCTCCTCCTCCCTCTCCCTCTCCCTCCTCCTCCTCCTCCTCCTCCTCCTACATGGCCATTTGGGCCATAGGTGGAGCCCCGATGTGGCCGTGAAACGTGTGAGGAATGTGCCGAAATGGGCGAGGTGGGCACATGCGAACATGGCCACTTGGGCCTCAGGTGGAGCTCCCTAAGGGGCCACGGAGCGTGTAAGGGGCATGCCGAAACGGCCGTGACGCCCACATCTGGGGCCTCAGGTGGAACCCCCTGTGTGGCCATGACACGTGGAGACAGACAGACAGCAGCCAGGCGCTCAGCAGCGCATTTTCAGAGCAATACGCTGTAACATAATTTGCAAACAGGATTGGCGTGCACTGCACACTGAAGCGTGGCGGATCCCAATGGAGGGGGGGCTGCGAGACTTCAAAAACGCAGGCCGGCCCACCATGAATGGGGCCGCCACATGCGGGCATGGCCACTGGGGCCTTAAGTAAAGATCTCTATGGGTAGGGGCCACGAAGCGCGTGTGAGGTGTGCCGAAGTGGGCGGGGCGGCCACATGCAAACACTGCCACTGGGGCCTTCGGTGGGGTTCCCTTTGGGGCCTTAAAAATGTGAGGGGTGTGCCGGCATGGGTGGGGCGGCCACATGCGAGCATGGCCACTGGGAGGCCTTAGGCGGACCTCCCATTGGGGCCACGAAGCGCCTGACGGGGTGTGTCGCCATGGGGGGCCAGCCACATGCGAACATGGCCATTGGGGCCTTAGGTGGAGCTCCCTATGTGGCTGTGCAACGTGTGAAGGGTGTGCCGAAATGGGGGCTGGCCATCGCTCGGACGTCCATTCCCTGTGCTTTTTTCGGTCTTGTGCGTGGTTTCTTCGCAGGATGATCCAGGATGCTCCTTAATACTCCCCGCCGAGAAAAAATGCACACGTCCGAGCGATACCAAGGGGGAGGGGGTGGGAGCGGCCACGTGCAAACGTGGCCACTTGGGCCTCAGGTGGAGCTCCCAAGGGCGCCACGAAGCGCGTGTGGGGTGTGCCGACATGGGAGAGGTGGCCACGTGCGAACGACGCCACTGGGGCCTTAGGTGGAGCTTCGCGAGAGGACTCAAGACCCTTCCGAGGGCCACATCGCCATAGGAGTGTGAGAAGGCACGTGTCATGAGGCATAGGACACAAGGGTACCCTTGAGCTGGCAGGGTCGACCTACTAATCCGGGCCGACTGTATTGGGCCGTGAAGCGTGTGAGGGGTGTGCCGGAGTGGGTGGGGAGGCCGCATGCGATAATGGCTGCTGGGGCCTTCGGTGGAGCTCCCTCTGGTGCCACGAAGCGCGTGAGAGGTGTGCCAAAATGGGTCGGGCGACCACATGCGAACATGGCAACTGGGGCCTTATATGGACCTCCTCTTGGGGCCACGAAACGCATGAGGGGTGTGCCGCCATGGTTGGGGTGGCCACATACGAACATGGACACTAGGGCCGTAGGTGGACCTCTCTTTGGGTCCACGAAGCGGGTGAGGAGTGTGCCGAAATGGGTGGGGCGGCCACATGCGAACATGGCTATTGGGGCCTGAGGTGGGGTTCCCTTTGGGGCCTTAAAAATGTGAGGGGTGTGCCGGCATGGGTGGGGCGGCCACATGCGAGCATGGCCACTGGGGGGCCTTAGGCGGACCTCCCATTGGGGCCACGAAGCGCCTGACGGGGTGTATCGCCATGGGGGGCCGGCCACATGCGAACATGGCCATTGGGGCCTTAGGTGGAGCTCCCTATGTGGCTGTGCAACGTGTGAAGGGTGTGCCGAAATGGGGGCTGGCCATCGCTCGGACGTCCATTCCCTGTGCTTTTTTCGGTCTTGTGCGTGGTTTCTTCGCAGGATGATCCAGGATGCTCCTTAATACTCCCCGCCGAGAAAAAATGCACACGTCCGAGCGATACCAAGGGGGAGGGGGTGGGAGCGGCCACGTGCAAACATGGCCACTTGGGCCTCAGGTGGAGCTCCCAAGGGCGCCACGAAGCGCGTGTGGGGTGGCCGACATGGGAGAGGTGGCCACGTGCGAACGACGCCACTGGGGCCTTAGGTGGAGCTTCGTACAGTCGGCCTTGATTGGACAGGACACGCGAGAGGACACAAGACCCTTCCGAGGGCCACATCGCCATAGGAGTGTGAGAAGGCACGTGTCATGAGGCACAGGACACAAGGGTACCCTTGAGCTGGCAAGGTCGACCTACTAATCCGGGCCGACTGTATTGGGCCGTGAAGCGTGTGAGGGGTGTGCCGGAGTGGGTGGGGAGGCCGCATGCGATAATGGCTGCTGGGGCCTTCGGTGGAGCTCCCTCTGGTGCCACGAAGCGCGTGAGAGGTGTGCCAAAATGGGTCGGGCGACCACATGCGAACATGGCAACTGGGGCCTTATATGGACCTCCTCTTGGGGCCACGAAACGCATGAGGGGTGTGCTGCCATGGTTGGGGTGGCCACATACGAACATGGACACTAGGGCCGTAGGTGGACCTCTCTTTGGGTCCACGAAGCGGGTGAGAGGTGTGCCGAAATGGGTGGGGCGGCCACATGCGAACATGGCTATTGGGGCCTTAGGTGGAGCTCCCTATGGGGTCATGAAGCGTGTGAAGGGTGTGCCGAAAAAGAGGCATGCGGAGGGCAGAGGCAGGAATGGGAGGATGGAGGAAGGAGGAGGGAGGAGAGGAGAGGAGAGGACGCGGGGCGCTGTCTCTTCAAAACGAGGGCCCAACACCACAAGGTGTGTGGGGACAACGGGTCTGCGCTCCCGAGGCCACGACCACTCGCTAAAAACCACGGATCCGCGTCCCGAGCTTCCAAGACGGCCCACGCAGGCAACCAAGGACACCAGGACGGCCCAAGATGCCCCCAAGGCTGCCCAAGATGGCCCCAAGACGGCCCAAGATGGCATCAAAATGGGACCCAAGACGGCCTTAGAAAGCCTGTCGACGGCCCAAGGAGGCCCCCAGCCACCCACCACACGGCCAAGAAGGCCCCAAGACGGCCCAAGAGAGCGCCAAGACGGCGTAAGAGGGCCTCCAGACGGCCCAAGAGGGCCGAATGGATCCCCAAGACTGCCTCACAGGAGGGCAAGACAGCCCCGAGACGGCCAAAGCGAGTTCCATGAGAGCTACTCCATGAGAGCTCCTCTTCAATGCGACGGTCTTCCTCTTCCTCCTCCTCCTCCTCATCATCATCTCCACTACCGCAAACACCATCATCTTAATCATTATCCTCATCCTCATACTGATTATCATCTCCATCAACTACATCGTCATTACCAGCATCAACTCCAGCATCACCATCATCATCACCATCACCCCCACCATCATCACCATCATCATCAGCAGCATCATCACCATCACCATCATCATCATCATCATCATCATCATCATCCTCATCCTCATCCTCATCCTCATCCTCATCCTCATCCTCATCCTCATCCTCATCCTCATCCTCATCCTCACCATCATCATCATCATCATCATCATCGTCATCGTCGTCGTCGTCGTCGTCGTCGTCATCATCATCATCATCATCACCATCATCACTATCATCATCATCACCATCATCACCATCATCATCTCAAGCATCAGCAGCATGCTCATCATCAGCATCATCATCATCATCATCATCATCACCAGCACCATTATCGTCATCATCATGCTCATCAGCATCATCATCACCGCCATCATCATCTACTTCAGCATCATTAGAACCATAAACAGTATCAAGACCAGCATCATCAGCATCATAATCATCATCACCATCTTCAGCAACAGTAACATCAGCACGGCATTAGCATCAGCATCAGCAGCATCAGCATCAGCATCAGCAGCATCAGCATCAGCATCAACATCAGGGGAGTATGATCTGGGCAAGGAGTAGTTGTGGAGGAGGGCGAGGAGGAGGAGAGGAAGAAGGAGAAGGAGGATGGAATGAGGTTGATGAGGATGGGGATGGCGAGACGGTGGACGAAAAGGTGGGAGCCGCGAGGTGTGTTGTGGGAGAGAAGAAGATGGGCGAAGGGCGATGAGCCTGAGGAGGTAGAGGTGGTGGTGGGTGAGGAGTTGGAGGAGGTAGTGGAGGAGCAGGAGGTGGAGGTGGAGGATGCGATAAGGCGGATAGGGAAGGGGATGGGGGAAACGCGAGGAGGTGGAGGTGAGGAACTGGAGGAGGTGGAGGTGAGGAGGTGGGTAAGGATGGGGAAAGGGGGAGCGCGAGGAGGTGGGCAAAGAGGGGGGGACACCCAGCGGTGACCTCTGTGGGGGGTGAACATCTACTTCTGGCGGCTGGCAGTGGTCTTCGTCGGCGGACCTGCACTTCCGCACGTCCTCCTCCTCCTCCTCCTCCTCCTCCTCCTCCCTCATCCTCCTCCTCCTCCTCCCTCCTCCCTCCTCCCTCCTCCCTCCTCCTCCTCCTCCTCCTCCTCCTCCTCCTCCTCCTCACCTCCCTCCTCCCTCCTCCCTCCTCACGGCCTCCGCCGAGACATCAGCGCCTCGGCTCCTCAAAGGCGAAACCCTTCCAGCATCGCTCCGAGTGGTACGCGGCCCAAGCCTCGAACGCAGTGTTTTTCCCCAACGTGGGCCCTGGTAGCAATCGAGCCCTGTCGCTGGAACTACTGCTTCGTCTCTGGCCGCTCATCGTGGCCCCAGTGACCGACGGAGAGCGACCCCCAGAAAAGGGGGACATCTGAAACAACACGCTGGTCGCGGCTTCGTTCGCGACGCCCTGTGGTCTGGGAGACCAGGCGGGCTCCTCTTGGATCACCTTCCAAGCCTTGATGAAGATGAGCGCGTTCAGCCACGAATCCGCTGGGAGACGTCCTGCTCCTGGATATAGCTGCGCCAAGTGTGCGGCGGAGGGAAGAGGGGAAAGACGATGATGATGCTAATGATGATGATGAGCACGATGATGCTGATGCTGATGGCGATGATGTGGATAATGTCGACGCCAGATGATTATTATTGTGCCGAGGACGTAAGCCGCAGCAGGCCTGCACCAGGTTAAGCAGTTCGATAGTGGGGGGAGCAAGGAGGGAGAGAGAGACTTGAGAATGTTAGTGCGGCCCGATTGGAGCCACACATTGCCGCGGGAAGCACCGTGTGGACATATTCGAGGCCAGATAGTTCTTTGTGCTGAGGGCGCCATGCGAAGACGTAAGCCGCAGCAGGCCTGCACCAGGTACCATGGCGAGTCCACACCACTGGCTCCAGCCGCAAACATTTATTGAATTCACACATCTAATTCATCGAAAGGAAGCCACCGAAAGCATTCGATACTGCTCGCCATTCTGTCACAGGCGAGTCGCGCGACACTGAAGGGAGGCGACATCGCAGCTTCACGAACCTTCCTATCGAACGATGAGATGCCAAGCTCGCCTAGTTTTTTTTTGTGAGAGCGGCAGCATAGCGATGTGGCAGGCGAACAGGTTACATAGAGCAGCTGGCGATCCTTGACATGCTAGCTAGCGGGGCGAAAACGAAATTTCTTCCTCGCACGGCCAGCATACATGCACGAATCTAAGACAGCGATCGAGGAGTCCTGGCTACCGAGGCCAGCACAAGTCTTGCCATCCCTAGATGCGAGGCCTCGGGGTGGCACAAAATTGCTTGCACCCTTCTACAGCTGCGCTCTGATAGGATGCGAATGTACACAGCATTGAAAATATTGCGAAGGCAATTGGGGCAGGCCGCGCGGATGCTGAATGGATCGAAAGAGGGGCGACTGTTGACGCAGCGTGACAGCGGCGTCGGGCTCAAGCCATACTCCCGAGACACAGCCTACACGGATCCAGCCTGGCCCGCGACCGCCCGCGACTGGGTCGGGGACGTCGCCCGCGGGGTGGCGTCGAAGGCCGAGGCGCGCAACGCCGAAGCCCGCTCGCTTTAGGGCGCGCGCCGCGCCGCCGCGGCCGCTCCCACCGGGAACCGGCGCGGGGAGGTGCCGTCGCCCAGCGCCGACGCGCCCGGCGGTCCGCCACAGGCGCGCCAGGCCAAGTCCCGCCGATCGGTGATCTGCGCGGGCGGCGCCCCAACGGCCAGCGGCGTCGGCACCTCGGCCAGCGGCGCCTTCGACGGGAAGACGCCCGTCTCCATCGTCTGCAAGATCAGCTCCTGGAGCCTGCAATCGACCTCCTCGCCAAACGCGACGACCCCCTGCCCGAGGCCCTCGACGCGCTGCTGCGTCCGAGCCCGCTTTGCATGGTGAAGGAGGCCCTGGTCCGTCCTTCAACGCCCGCGGCCCTGACCTCCTTCCTTGCGCGCCTCGACGAAAGGAGGTCGCCGGACGCGCCCCCGCGACGAAGCGAGCGGGGCGCCAGCTCGGCCTCAAGGCCGACGTCCGAGGCAGCGCGACGGAACGCGCTGCGCGCCTCGTCGGGGGCCGACGTCCACGAGGTGCCGGTCAAGGCCTTCCCGCGCGCCGGCGCCCCCAGCGGCGGCCAGAGAGCACGAGTGTCGACGATGGCGCTCTCGTCGGTCTCGCCCGTTGCGCCTCGGCGGTTGTGGGCGGCGTCGCCGATGATCGGGCCCCGGCGCCCGTGGCCCCCCCGCCCCGCCGGGGCGAGGTCGCGTCGCGCTGCCAGCCGCGAGGCGGCAGGCCTCGCTCGGCCCGGGGCAGGCGTCGAACGTCGGCCCGGCGAAGACGGCCGCGCCGTAGAGGCGCAGGGGCGCTGGGGCCCCGGCGATGGCAGCCATCGCCGCTCGGGGCAGAGACGGGCGCGTCCGCGGCGGCGCCGACTTCCACTGTCCCGTCGAGGCGCGAGCCGCACGAGGGCGCGGCGCCTTGCCCGCCAGGAGGGCGGGACGGAAGCGCATCAACGCGGCCGCGAGGGCCCCGCCCGCGGCTCAGCCGAAGTCGCCCAGGTAGAGGTTCGCGAAGTAGGTAACAAGGATGACATCGACCCCCGCCGCCGTCGAGGAGTCCCTGCTCGCGCAGTGGCACGCTCCTCGAACTCCTTGGCGGCCCCCCAGTAGTCGGCCGCCGCGGCGTCGGCGATGGCCGCCGCCTCGAGCACCGGCGGGGCCCCGTCCACGAGCGGGATAGGTCCAGGATGTGTCCTCGCCCTCTGGTCGGCCAGCGGCGGCTCGCTGTCGCCGCTGTTCGGGGCGCGCGCTTGGCCGACCGCGCGGGGCGGGCCGGCGAAGAACCCCGACCTCGACGGCGCGTCGGCGGCGTTGCGCGCGCTGGGGGCCCAGCGCATGGCGCGACCAATCCTGGCGGCCGCCGACAGCGCGCACGGGGCGACGCGGGGGGTCGACGGCAAAGAGGATGCGATGATGGCGAAGCCGCCCAGACTGAGCCGCGCGTCGCATAGCAAAGCCCAGGGCATCCGCCTCGCATCGCATGGTGTCAAGCCCAAACCTCGAACGACGAGAGCTGTGCATCCTAGCCCAGCCATCGAAAGCTGTGACCGCCTCGCGGAGCTCGTCGAAGTCGCCGTCCGTCGAGGTCGATCGCCCCGTCGTTGGAATCGCCGTCGAGGTACATCAAGCCACCGAGCCGTCCGACATCGTTGCGTCTGTCCTCAAGAGGTGATTCCAGAATTCGTTGGGCGCAACGAAATTGGAATGGTGTCTGGCGTCGGGGTCGGCGTCGGGCGAGGCAGGCTTCTCGGCCGGCGATGATGATGATGATGATGATGATGATGATGATGATGATGATGATGATGATGATGATGATGATGATGATGATGATGATGACGAAGGGCGTCCAGCGCTTCCAGGGGGCCTCGGGCGGTGGCTGCACCCCCCACGCAACATGCCGCAAAACGCCAGTGGCCTCGAGACCGCGCGCGCGGGCACGGGCGTGCACGGCGCCCGAGAAGCGATGGCGCCGCCTCTCGGATGGGCGGCCTGCCGCCGCCGCCGTCTCCTGGTCAACCGTCTCGTGGCGGGCCCCGGCGCCGCGGGGCGGCGCGTCGCTGCGAGTGGCGGTCGCGCCCCCCTCGGCCTCGACGTCGGACCACCGCGGCGCGATGAGGGCGGCGGCCGCCCCGAGCTTGGAGATCACGGGCGGCCGTGACTGCGCGGCCCCCCGGCTGCCCGAGGCCATGAAGCTGCGCGCTCAGGTGGAGATCGGCAACGCGGGCCTGTCGGCGAAACTCATGCCCCAGGCGCAGTGGCCCACCGCCGCGGCCAGCGCGAGCGGCGACGCGAAGCCCCGCCTGAGCAGCCCAAGGAGGGCCTGTCGCAGTCGGCACAGCCGCTCGCGCTTGCGCCGGATGGCGCCCACGTCGCCGAAGATGTCCAGGCCCGTGAACACGACCCGCTGGGCAGTGGGGCGAAGTCCCCGAAGGGGGGGCCCCTTGCCTCCAGCGCGGCGTGGATGGCCTGGCGCGCCTCGGCGGCCGCGTCGGGGCCCAAGGACGCGGTGGCGAAGTTGTCGACGCGGCCAGCGGCGACGACGATGTCGGTGCCCTCGCGATGCGGGGGCGTCGCGGCCCCGTCGACCAGCGGGGGCCCAGCGCCCGCGCCCGCGTCGATCACGGCCGCGGCGAGGGCGGACTGCCGGGCGCGCGGGGCCCGCGACCAGCCCATCGGCATGGCGGCCGCGAACGGCCGCGGGCAGGCGCGCGCGCCGAGTAGTGCCCCGCCGAGCTTCTCGAAGCCAAGATGCCGATTCGGCGCCACGGACAGCTAACAAATATAGATACCTAAAGATGTGGAGGTAGCTTCGCGCGGTAGGATGCGCGCTGGATCTCCCCCTGGGCCGCGGGGAAATCACTGCGGGCCTCGAGCGCACTCCGCGCCGACGGCGTCGGCAATCTCGCAGAAGGAGGGGCCGCGGCAGAAAAATGGGCCGCCCGCGCGTCGAAGACGAGGCGCAGGATGGCGCCGCTGGCATTCCCGGCGAAGAAGAAGCCAATAGAGGAGGCCGCCTGTCGCTCGGCGACCGCCCGCCCCAGCGCGCCAGCCCGGCGCAGGCGCAGCGGCGAATCGGCGCGCCCCCGAAGTCGAAAACGAAAGCGAGAGCCCGCGCAGGGTCGGCCCGGGCCCGGCCCCCTCCCCAGCGCTGCCGACTCGGCATGGTCACGTGGCACAACATACCCCATTCCTATCAATGCGTGACGGTCGGCGTCCGCGACGAGGTCGGCCGTCGGAGCAGGCGCCGCGCAGGTGGCCAGGATGCGAGCTCCTCGCTGCAGGGTCGCACTCGAGAACCACCGGAGTACCAGGGCGCAGACGCAAGCAACTCTACCAGGGCTGCCTCGCATCTCTGAGGAGATACGGAATATCCATGAGGTGCGGTGCGTCGCTGGGCCAGGGGCACTTCGGCGCCGCCGCGGGCGCGCGGAAAGAGGGGGTGGGCAAAGGAAAATGGGGGGGGGGGGGCAGGAGAGAAGGGAGGGAAGGGGAAAGAAGAGAAGGGGGGGGCAGGAGAGAGGAGAGGGAGAAAGGGTGGTGGGGCAGGAGAGGGGGGGGGGCAGGAGAGAGGGGGGGAGGGGAAAGAAGAGAGGGGGGGGAACAAGAGACAGGGGGGGGGGCAGGAGAGAGGGTGGGGGGGGACAGAGAGAGGAGAGGAGGGAGAGGGGGGGGGGACAGGAGAGACAGGGGGTCAAGCTAGGTGCGCTCGCGTCATATCTGACATCCTACCCCTCCCGCCCATCCCTTACCATGGCGCATATCCCCTCTCTACTCGCACAGTCGGATGTCGAGCAGGGCAATGATCACGAAAGGGTACGCGATGCATTGTAGAGCACGGCATGGCATGGCGTAGAAGAGCACCGCAAAGCGTAGCATCAACCTAGCATTGCATTGCACGCCGTGGCATGGCACGGGAAATGACCCCAGCGCTGCAGCGGGAGCACGAG